AGTAAAGAAGCAGAATCTACTATTAAATATTTTCTCTTCTATGAATACATTTTGGTGTGGAACTGGATAAGTTACTGCAATTAAAATATAATCTGAAGCTGTTGATTGTTTAACGTCCCTCTCGAGAATTTTTCACTCATACTGAGCTTCGTACTGAGCTTCGAGACGCCACCACTTGACGGCGGAGAGCTGCAAATTTTGTCCTATACTCCGCAATTAGAGCCATTGAACAGCCATATCACAAATGAGCTTTTATTATGGAACACACAAATTTATTTCTTATAAAAATGTTGAAAAGGAAAAGTTTGATGCCGATTGGAGTAGATGGAATGGCTTCCCCATCTCTCTCTCTCTTTTCTCCCTCCCTTCTTTATCTCTCTATCTATGCTTAAAACACACCATATTCGATTAACTTCAATGTATAATAATGTAAAAGAGATGTGGATAAAAAAATAAATAAAATAAAAGGCACAATGTAAATATGAACTGGTATTTTAAAGATTAATTTTAAAATTATTACTTCATCTACATGTATAAATGGCAAAAAATGGTAGTTTAGTTTCAAATGTCAGTGTCTATGTTCATATGCTAAAAATAAAAATTTACCTTGCATTTGCTTACATAAAATGTAGAAAAGGTAAATTTACTGCATTAACATGCAAAACATGTTTCTAATCTACGACGTTTAAAATATTTTTGTTTAATTATTCTGTGATTTGTTTTCCTACACATATAATTCTATAAATTACCATCAACTTTCCTTGTGTTTTACTTGTTCATGCGATTTACTTTGTTTGTCTCTGAGCTAATTCATTTGATAGGGTCTGGCATGACAAATGTCAATCGACGCATTGACGACATGGAACATTTTTTAAAAAATAAAACAAGGAGCAGGTGGTTCCTTTCTTAATTGATTGCTTTCTTTGAATTTTCGCCATCTGGTCCCCACTTATATATTTAACTTGACCGAAAGACTTCACTATTATTATCATTGTACAGGATGCCTTATATTCTACAGCTACTATCATTGGCTTTTTGTCTCACCGTAGCCAAAGCACAGAGTAAGATTTACTTCTTCCTTTTTATATTTTGTTGAGATCGACTAACAAAATCTCTCTATCGTTATCTATCTTTAAAGCAAATTTTAAAAGTTGGGGAGAAACCTATAAACTATGTAGGTTCTTTGACTTTGTTAAAAATATAAAAGAGATAATTTACATTGTCAGTTGCGAAATGCATGCGCAATTATTTTAAAAGAAATAGTTATATCATAAATTATGTTAAATCGTGCATGTAAAGAATTTTGAACTTTATATTGACAATGTCTTATCAAATATCAATCATATATTGTTGAAAGAATTCACTAGTAAAAATTAAATTATATTGATTTTTTAAAACTCGACATTCTATTTAATGTAAAATATTTGTATATGTACATGAATTTATTAAACGTACTGAAATACTAAACTAAGTATACCGTAAAATGAAATACCCTATTGAATGCACATTTTAATTAGCAATATTCATATTAAAGCTGGAAAATAAGTAAATAATTTGTATATAATTAGAGGGTCAAAATTCATCTTTTTACTAATTTGATGATTAAAACTTGATTGTGTATTTTTGTTCTTTTTTATTTTTACATGTAGCATGTTTATTATCATATATTTCCATTTCTAATTTTTCTCTCTGTGATAACTCTTTGAAAGTTAGCGGAGTTAATTTCTTGATAATTCTACCGGATTGTAAATTAGGCAGGTCAATAGGTCAGGAGCTAAGGAGGCCTAATATGCATGCAAATTTCGTGCGTATCTGTCTCCGAGTCTGACGCTAAGGAGACCAAACATGCATGAAAATCTTGTGCGGCTGCCGTTGTGTTTGACGTCAGTGGGCGAGGAATCCTCGTGTAATTTAAATCTATGTCTACATGTTTAAAGTCTAAATCTACAATTTTATTTCACAATGAAATGGAAATATAAGGAATCACTGTCTAGTTAGTATAGTATGCCAGGGACTTCAACAATAGTGGGAAACATGGGATAATTCATGCATAACGGGCTGCAAATTATCCCATGTTTCCCACTATTGTTGATGCCCTGGCATACTATACTATCTAGACAGTGATTCCTTAAGTATAGGTACTATTTATTATTGCGTTGACTTATTAAGGTACTTTGATACTCTGATAAGAGAGATAACTCTTAATGACACAAATGTCTATTATTCCTTCATAAATTTGTCAAGTTTAAGCGCCTTTTCTGCCAAATTTTGCCCCGCAAGCCATGCTATAATTGTTTGTATTTTATACAGCATTTACATTTCCTTTGGAAAATCATAAAACTTAAAGAAAAATTTCATATGAGTGAGCAGAGGGTTTATGAACCTTAAGGAGAGGGTGTGCATTGCATAGGCTTTGACTGTTTCTTTATCCTTTTCGAATTATTCAATAAAAAAATCAATTATATGTCAACAATTTTCCATTGTATTTTAAAGAGCTCAGTTCTCGATGATTATTTCACAAATTACAAAGTCCAGTCTAAAAATATATATATTTTATAGTTATAGGATAGTTAAACCGACTTTTTTTGAATTTTCAGTTCCAGATCCGGGCAGTAACGGACTGGACAGGTGTGAATTTGGTCGACACCTTCGTCAGAGATGTGTAGGCTTCACGATCCCTCCAAGAAATGACTGCCCCGCCGGTTTCTTTTGCTTCACCCCCGCGGATGGTGCGGGTCCTTGTTGTTTACGTAAGTTCCTGTCCCTCTTCTTCAACCGAATTCGTGTAGTATTAACGTATTAAAATGTAGTTTTAATAATGAACTCAAATATAACAATTTTGCAAATTTTCTTTAAAAAAAACAACAGAATTTTATAAATAATTGCAATAGTTGAATACAGTTAAGATTTGTGAAGTTTCATCAACACATGACATCTATTTTGACTATTTGAAATATCATTTATTCAACAGAGTGCAAAAAATAAATTTTGAACCGTAAATGCTATAGAATGATTAAATTTTTTGATGTCACTGATTTTGATGCTCCGTAATGCCAGATAAAATTAAATTTTAGATTCTTATCCCCGCCTGCCCCTCTCAAAGTGTAAAATGATTATAAAACATTGCCAGCAGACTTTAGAAAATAATCATGTGAAGGAAATGTTAGGCTTTTCAGCAGGAAATTTTTATAGATTTTGCAAATTAACATGACCTACATGTGTTTTTATGTCAAACATGTCGTCTCAAGAACGATTGAATCTTTGAGGAAGGTGGAAATCTGTAATATTTTGGTAAAACTAAAAGATATTTGAGGAAAGGCGATGAGAAGTCATACATGCACAATTAGTATCTGAACCTAATTTTGTTTGGCGTGTGCCATATATGTGTACTTGATGATTTTTAATTAAACTATAATATTTCATTTTTTTAAACAAGAACCGTCTTTAGATATTTTAAAAAAGAATATGAAACAATAAAATCTATTCATAATAGCATTAACATAATGAAAAAAATCTGTACGAAGAGTCCAATTGTCAAATTAGGATGAGAATCTAAAGATTAATTTTATCTGGCCTAATCGATGATCGAGGGTATATAGTTTTTGTCCTGTCTGTCCGTCTGTCTGTCTGTTTGTCAGCAAAAACATTTACCTTGTCCATGACTTTCGATTGGTCTAAGCTATGTCGTTTCACATATTTACATGTGTATTCCTTGCAACAAAGCCATCCTTTGGGTACCAACATATGTAATCTTTTAACCTTGACCTTTCATTTGAAACAATTTTTGTCTTGGTCATAAATTTTGAACCGTTGATGCTAGGGTTTTATGTATTTATTGTTACAAGACTTTTTTTGGGATGTAACCTTTGAACAGTCGGTGTCAGGGCTTTAATATTTTACATGTATATTTCTAATGACATGCCTTTCTCTTAATGTCATTAATTTGACCCTTTAACCTTGACTTTGGAGTTCGACCCACATTTTAAAAAGTTTATCTTGGCAATATAACGTTTTAATAATTGGTGCTTGGGTTTTCATATTTCACACCTACAGGTATAATATTGATTGAGAAAATACTTTCTTTGGGCAAAAACAATTTTCATCTCCTGACCTTGGAGTTTGGATTGCATGTATTTAAACCTTTAACATTCGCTAAAAGCTGCCATACGGTGGATTCAATAGTGTTTCACAAACATTTTTATGCATACTTTACAGAAAACAACCCGTGTATTTTCGGAACACCTCTTCAGATAAACAATGACGCGGTGACGTGTACCAGACAACGCTGTCCCCTAGACTACAGATGTATCAGCAATAGAGAATTCGCTGTATGCTGTCCAAGTAAGTTTGTTTATCTGTTTTTAAAATAAAAAACATGGTTAAAATAAACACACAATCAATTTTCTGAAAAAAAAATAAATGAACGTATCTATGTATCTTCGATTTTAAGAAATTGAAAAGATTTTTAAAATCGGCATTTTCATTTTGTTTTTAGGCAGAAACCCCTCTTTAGTATGCCCCCAGATATACTGTACACCTGAGAGGGGGACTCCGTACTACCCACCCTTTTGTTATCGACCGACAACGATCAGGACGGCGGAGGGCAGAAACTGTCCCGGCTGTCCTAGGAACATCTGCAGGCCATACATAGGATAATGAAATCTACACGCTGCTACCTGAGACAAAAAGAAATGTTAAAGAACAACTCATTATACATGTTTTCACTCGCATTTATACAGTCATGGAATTTATATGTGTTTTTGATAAATAAATACATTTCCTGTGTGATATTCTTTCTTTTGGGTTATTTATTATATGCTCATATTTCAGTATTGATGACATTTGTTTTCTATTAAGTGCTACAGTATTTATCGGGGTATTTCTCTGGAGTTTTGTATAGTGACTATTAGAATTTCGGTGTCAAAGATCTGATTTAATTAGAATTCCGAGGAACGATGCCTATGATGAACAGTTTACACATAAACCAGTCTTTGCACACACATACACCCTCACCACCACCAAGAGGTCAAGACAGTTTACAGGAGTAAAACGTAATTATGTTCCCCAAACGAAGTTGGGGAACATATTGTTTTTACTCTGTTTCTTATTAAGGTCTTCCGTCTTCACGGAAGACCTTATAGTGATTCTACTGTTTCTTATTATTCTTATTATTCTTTTTTTTGACAAAATTTTGTGCAGGCGATTTCTCGAAAACTATTCAGTGGTTTTTCATGAAACTTTCACAAGATATGCGTCATTATATGAAGTTGTTACATCCGAAGAGTAATTTGGAAAATTCGCTTCTGGTGCCAAGTTATGGACAATTTCCTGATTTTAAAATGCGATTTTGTCGCGCACTTTTGTCAAAAATGGCTAAGGATATGAACTGGAGACTTATTGGAGATGATAGATCATGACTTTGTGGATTGCAGAATCGCCTTTTCGTGCGTCGTCAGTACTTCCGGTCGTTACGAGATGCAAATCTAAAAAAGTCGTATTTTCTAACTTTTTTGTTTTTCAGTATTTTTCATTTTTATTTGGTATGGTAATAGAAGCCCTCCTTATAATGCTTACTATTTAATTGGTTTGAATGTTGATAAATCTAAAGTCTAGATATTTGCATTCAAAAATCTGAAGCGGGTCCAAAATGGCGGCTGTCTCTGTCAACTCCATTTGGCAAGTAGGGGTTTATGGAGGCAGCTGAGCGTTTGATTAAACCATTCTGACATAAGGATACATGAAATGTAAAAAACTACTTCGACTCTCACGTAGTATTAAATGGTTGGAGGAGTTATCTCCCGTTACTTGTTTATATTATAATAGATAATCAATGTAAATATTGTAATTAATTGGTCAATTGACTAAAGAATTAAACAAGTATTATTGATAAATGATGTTCTGTTAGAAAATAATAATGGTGTTGCCAAAAGAAAGACAGTCTGTTTTATTTTATCAATATGATATCTGATAACTTATGATCATTGATTAAATTCAGGTACACGGGGGCAGTACAGCTTACTGGCTTGTGTCTTCACTTTGGTACAGAAACCAATTGGTTTATCGATCAAATAGGATTGTGCAAAGTTGCCGTAGTAAGTGACTAGTTAAAATATAGCTGTGTGACATTAGCTATAGGTTTGTCATTAGGACAGAGAAGCTCTTACAAAGTTAAATCATACTGTGTAAGTATATTGTATCCACTTGGCTAGAGTTATATAGGCAACTTGGTAAGCAGTTATACACCAGAAAGATGTTAAAGGCTAATTCAAGAGGCACCAGGCAGATAGATGTTGACTTATATAGTAACTTTTACGAGTATAGTGAGGCAATTATCATATGGCACCAGGCAGGTGCCGGTATTAACTGAAGATATACAATTATACAAAGCACTTAGGTCATTTGATTTAAAGACACCAGGCAGGTGTCATTTTATTATCTGTATATATTGCATTCAATCATATCCCCAGTAAAACTCGGTAATCCGAGCACGGACCTAGACCGCTCAGATCCGACACGTTACAGTAGTACGTTGCAATTGAGTGTCAATCTTAAAACTTAATTTCCGTTTCACTGCTTTAGTGTAACTGGGCTAGATACGATATGTAATGTGTATAATGTGTTACATATACTTTCTTAGCGTCAAAATGAAATAAAGGTGCTAAGATTGTTTTATTTTTAAAATTTAATTGTTGCTATCATACCTATCTAATAGATCAGTCCAAAGAAAAGGCGCGAATACTTACTCGTGGCGTTTGGTGCGAAATTGTGAATGCTTTTTATAATTCTTAGACAGGTGAACTGTTGCAAAAGTACCGTAGTATACACAAGTATATTTAGAGCAGTACTCCCAATAGCTTAATTGTTAGCGCGTTGGGGATATAAAAGTAAAAAAAAAAGCGCATTCACGTTGGCGACATGGTTTCAATCCTCCTTGTGACCAAAATTTTGATCTCAATCTTTTCATCTCAATTTTATGTGGGTTTCTTTTCCTAAAACGGACGGAAGACCTCTCGTTGCTCGCAACGAGATCGTTTCTAGTTATTATTATTTTTCTTCTTCCTGGGAAAATTTTGTCCACGAGTGAACTTGTAAACTACACATCTGACTAAGGTAAAATGTTTTTAGGGTCAATAGATATGTTATGTAGATTTGCCGAACGAAGGTCATTTTGCGCGCACGTGCTTGCAAGAGCGCGCACGTGCAACACTTGAAATGACCAATATAATGGACATTGCCGTAACTTTTCTATTTTTTGATGAAATATTTTGAAACTCATAATGTAAGGATATATTAGTAGTATAGACACGATGGCATGGTCAAAATAGCAAGATCTCACGCGCATGCACGTGCGCTTCGCTCTGATTGGCTGAAACTAAAGTCTCAATATCTTTCTTGTTTCTTGTCATAATCATTTGAAATTTTGAACATAGTCCTACATTATGAAGATCTACAGCATGATATATGAAATTTTCATGCAAGCATGCGCATGCACGCGTGCTTGAATCTGATTGGCTGAAACTTTAAATGGCTATATATCCTTTGTTTTTGGACGTAATGCTTTGAAATTTAAAACATAGTCATGCATTAGGATATCCTACAATATGTTATAGGAAAAATTCATGAAATCACGCGCATGCACGTGTGCTGCAATCTGATTGGCTTAAACTTTAAATGGCTATATCTCCTTTGTTTTGAGACGAAATGTTTGGAATATTGAAATATAGTCATTCATTAAGATGACCTTTAATACGATAAACATAAAAATTCATGAAATCACGTGCATGCATGTATACTGCAATTTGATTGGCTGAAACTTCAAATGGCTATAACTCCCTTGTTTTTCAACCAAACAGGTTGGGATTTAGAACAGAGATAAATATAAGGGACTCCTACAAGAAGGTTTAGTCGTCACATACATGCTTGCACGTGAAAGGCGTTAAATTAAAATACACTCGACTGAGTGCAATTTTTAATACTTTTGGATTAAATGCTTTGTTATTAAGTATATAAAAAATATATAGATAGTGTAGACAAGATAATATGGTCGTAACGCACATGAACACGCGTGCAATGCTTAAATTTAAATATATTTTGTATTCTTCTGGGAAGACCTTAATTAAGTCTAAATTCCATAAAGTATTTCTTATAAAATAGAGATTACAGGGAATATGGCACCAAAAGGGAGTTGGGGAGCGTTTGGGGAACATCTGTAACGGTCCCCGTTACAATTAGCACTAGTTATAACATAGTATAACATAATTTCTTGGTCTTACTTCCTCGAGCACCAAGGGACGATGCCTTTGAACGTCCCATCCCAGTATTGACTGCACATCCTATAGAGGGCAAACAAATTTTTTACTTGACTACTTCCGGTGCAAAAGGATGATGCCTATATAGAACAATTGTCAGTATGAACTCAGTCTTGTATCCCTAAGGAATCAATAGCTTTATTCTCATGAAAGTTGTAGAGAATCAGAACAGTGCAGAATGGCTTACAAGTGTAAAATATCAAAAGAAATGAGTTGCGTCAAGCGAAAAGGGACCTTCGTGACAAAATTTTCGAAAATCGTTTTTTCACCGATTCTGAAAGAGCTAGTTTTTCTGAATATTTTGATACCAAATTTTTTATTGTATACCTTCTAAATTCTAATTAAAACTCAAACTGAAAGCAATGCAATTTTAAAAAGATAACGCTATTAAACGTTGAAAAACGTCGCATAACGTTATTATGTTCCCCAAACGAAGTTGGGGAACATATTGTTTTTACTCTGTTTCTTATTAAGGTCTTCCGTCTTCAGCGGAAGACCTTCTTGTTATTCTTCGGTTTCTTTTTCACTTTTTTTCTTACCTATTATTATTCTTTTTTTCTTACCGATTTTGTGCACGCGATTTCTCGAAAACGGCTCGATGGATTTCCATGAAACTTTCAGGACTCATGTAACATTACATGAACTTGATTCATTTTTTTCCGTTTTGATGACGTCACTTCCGGTCCGTAAATATTTTCGATTTTATGATTTTTGAAGGGTCAGGTTGTCCGCGAACGTTCTAAAAACTGGCTAAAGATAGAAACGTGAAAATTTCAGGTATGATAGTCCTAAGTCTATAGATGTGCAAAATGAATTTCATTTTTTTTGGAAGTGCCGCGCGTCGGCGCTCGCTATGGCCCGAAAATTGTCCTATCGCGAATTTCAAATTTTTTACAACCTTTTCTATGATATCTTTTTACTTTGAAATATTTTGTTATAACATATAGAACAAAAGAAGTGTAGAATTTCAAGATCTTTCAAATGATATCTCGAAAAAAGGACTGGCCCCTAAAATTAAGGGACTGGAGGGGCCATAAGTTTTTCCTTTATATCTCAAAAAGTATTGAGAATTTGTAATACATCAAAGAAGCAAAGTTGTTCAAAATTTCAAGCTTAATCTACGGGCGTCGTCAAAATACGTCCGACGACGTCACTTCCGGCCAAACCGGAAGTAGTCGGAAAACGCGTATTTTGGTCATTCTTGACAAGTTTTTGGGTATCTTATGTCACTAGGAACATAGAAATAAATTTTCCGTCCGTCGTCGTCACTTCCGGTCAAACCGGAAGTAGCAAAAAATGGCTTATTTTTGCATTAATTAACATAGATTTTGAGGATTCAACCAATTTTGGGGCGTTATTTCTCATATTCGTTAAAAATGAAAACTACTTCCGGTCAAACAGGACGGAAGACCTACTCGTTGCTTTGCAACGAGCTTTGCTCTAGTTATTATTATTTTTCTTCTTGGGAAAATTTTGTCCGCGAATGATCTTGTAAAGTACACATCCGATTAAGGGGAAACCTTTTTAGGATAAGTAGGCATGTTATGTAGATATGCGGAACGAAGGTCATTTTTCGCGCACGTGCTTGCAAGAGCGCGCACGTGCAACACGTGAAATGACCAATATATTTGTAATTGTTGTAACTTTTACATTTTTTGATGTAATGCTTTGATATTTAGAATATATAGACATATAATAAATGTAGATAAGATGACATTGTCAACATGCCATTTTGAGCGCACGTGCTTGCAAGAGCGCGCACGTGCAACACGTGAAATGACCAATATAATGGATATGATCGTAACTTTTCTATTTTTTGATGAAATCTCTTGAAAATTATAATGTAAGTATATATAAATAGCGTAGACAAGACGACATGGTCAAAAAAGCAAGATCTCACGCGCATGCACGTGCGCTTCGCTCTGATTGGCTGAAACTAAAATCTCTATATCTTTCTTGTTTTTCGACGAAATCCTATGAAATTTTGAACATAGCCATGCATTTAGATATCCTACAACATGATATATAGCAATTATCATGAAAACACGTGCATGCACGTGTGCTGCAATCTGATTGGCTTAAACTTTAAATAGCTATAACTCCCTTGGTTTTCAACCAAATAGGATGGAATTTGGAACATAGATATAATGAACTTCTACAAGACGGTATGTTCACCATGCACATGCATACACGTGCGTGTACGTGCGCTGTAATCTGATTGGCTGAAACTTTAAACAGCAATTTATCCCTTTGTTTTCAACCAAACGGGATGGGATTTAGAACATAGATAGATGTAAAGGACTTCTACAAGAAGATATGGTCACCATGCTCATGTTTGCACATGCGTGCACATGAAATAAAATAAATCAAAAATACACTTGAATGAGCGTATTTTTTAATACTTTTGGATTAAATACTTTAATATTTAGTATATAAAAAATATATAGATTGTGTAGACAAGATGATATGGTCATTACGCACATGCATTCACATGCGCACGCATGCAATGCTAACATTTGAATGAACTTGGCGTTGTTAAAGTCTCAAATGCATAGATTTTGTCCTATTAAATGAAACTTGCAGGGAATATGGCACCAAAAGGGAGTTGGGGAGCGTTTGGGGAACATCTGTAACGGTCCCCGTTACAATTAGCACTAGTTGATATTTGGAACGTTATTCTTACTAAATAACCCTTTTGTTTTCGTTAGAAATTTTTTTTCCACATGTATTTAAGGTTTTCAATCCCCCCCCCCCCCCCAATTTTAGCATCTGTATGATCGTATACATTGTAAAATAGCAATAAGTTTGTTGGGAAACAAAAACGACAATTTTTTCTATATGTATATGTAGGCCAATATTGAAATAATAAAGTAAGTTGTACATTTTCAAAGAATATATTCAACGACATCATTTAATCTTTCTACAACATGTATATAAGCATGCTTTAATCTCTGAAAAATTGGAATTTCAAAGGATCCTTCACAAGGGGATAGACCGCTTACCATGTGTACAAAACCAATCAAGTTCCTACTCTGAAGTTATCCCGCAAGGCATTCGTAACAACTCGGAAATTTTCCAAGGGAGAAATAGCTGATGTTCGTGAACAGAAATGACCGAGTATTTGCGATTGCTTGCAAGGGACTAAAATGAATACTTATCTTCATGTAGTAAGGTCGTATGGATAAATCCCGGTCAAAGTACTGGGTTTTTTTTTTCTTTCGCCATATCAGCAAACTTACCTCGACAAAAACAAACCCTTACCCAGTACCTACATGTATATGTATTTTTTTTTTTTTGAAATGACATAATTGTACTCCGATCCTGACCAATTGTTTTTTAGGGGGGGCCAGCTTTCAGGCATTGTTATCATTTTTTTTTCTTATCAATTATATCACACTTCTTTCAAAATCGATGTCCTTTTATTTTATTTCAATTGAGAATTATACTAGTATTGAAATGTGGAAAATTCCCCAAATCAAATTACATTAAACGTGTTTGCCCCCCCCCCCTTCTAACGATGTTACTTGCCTATATGTCAGTGATTTAAGATGCTAAAATGAAATAAAATATACCGGTACACGTACCAATTTTTATGACTTTACTATATATATCAGTGAAAGAAATAATTCTTTTTGTACATTGGGGAAACGGGGGGAGGGGTAGGCCTTTCTTCAAAAATGAGCCCGGCACGTTGTACTTGACATGGAACACATCGCGTGCAATAATTTTGTTTAAGATAAATATCGTATGTTGTACAATTTTGTAAAGAGAAAATCTTGTAATTTATCCTCATGTTAAAAATACCGGTATTATGGAATTGAATTTAATCAGCACTAAAATATACCGATAAAAATATCTAAGTTATGTAGATATCTAGGCTTGATGCAAAACAATTAGTCGGACAACAATAAAAGTAAGACGTTAAATTCACACTTTCAGAATATACTAAAATCGTTAATATATAATTAACACATGTATAAGCTTCTCTTCTGTGCCACCCATTCACGTGTTAGTACGTTGATTCATGCAATATTTTATTGACCAAGTCAATGTTACCGGATGACATTCTAACTGTACAATCAAAACATTTGATACACAGTTACATACATGTACATGTAAATAATCAGTTTAATTCATATTCAGAGGATTTTGCATCCCATTTTAGGCAATCGCAACTGAAATGAATCATGTGAGAATGTATTTGAAGCAATGTATTATGCAGTGAGTTAAATTTTGACCAAAAATCCTCGTTTAACAGTTTGAAATGCTTCCATATAAATATGATAAATTATGGCTTTGTCATTCTTGAGAAGAAGATTTTTAAAGAATTTTCCTATATATTTCTATGTAAAACTTTGGTCGGCCATTTTGGCCCCGCCCTACCCCCGGGGTCATGATTTGAACAAACTTGAATCTACACTACCTGAGCATGCTTCAATATAAATATGATGTATTATGGCTTTGTCGTTCTTGAGAAGATTTTTAAAGAATTTTCCTATATATTTCAATGTAAAACTTTGGTCGGCCATTTTGGCCCCGCCCTACCCCCGGGGGTCATGATTTGAACAAACTTGAATCAACACTTCCTGAGGATGTTTCCCCATAAGTTTCATCTTTCCTGGCACAGTGGTTCTTGAGAAGAAGATTTTTAAAATATGCCACCAAATTTTCATTAATTCCCAATTATCTCCCCTTGAATGAGGGCGTGGCCCTTCATTTGAACAAACTTGAATCCCCTTCACCCAAGGATACTTTGTGGCAAGTTTGGTTGAATTTGGCCCAGCAGTTCTTGAGAAGAAGTCGAAAATGTGAAAAGTTTACGACGACGACGACGACGACAACGACAACGGACAAATTGTGATCAGAAAAGCTCACTTGAGCCTTTGGCTCAGGTGAGCTAAAAAGGAAAACGTATACGTATGGAAGAATTGAAAGTTTTCCTAACCCGCAAAGGGGGTGGGATGGGGGTAGATGTGTGGGTGGAGACTGAGACTTCTTTGAGAACCAAAATTAACTGCAGATCTATAGGTCTCCGACCATTGTTTTGACAGAGAGCTACAATGCCATCCATTGAAAAAAATTGAATATTTTTGCGTGCAAAAAGTGCGCTGTTTCTCGATTTATTTCTACATGGTTTTCAAGCCGACAACTAAATATTCCTAACATAATTCTTGTTCTGTTTCCACAACAAAACTCATCCATCCCAATTTTTTCAGACCAGGCTACAGATCTGCAGCTATACCAAAATTTTCTTTTCAAACGCCACCACTTACCCCTCTTTGATTACACTATGCTTGCTGCAGCCCACCTAGGCTTTCAACCCCCCCCCCCTTTCACCCCACCCGGTTCCGACGTCTATGATGATAGTCTGTATGTTCACAGTCCAAGGCAATGTTTCCGTACTTTTCTAAATTAAATTGCAATACATATTTTTTTTTTTATATACAAACAGAAAATTAAGAACTTTAAACATAATTTTATAATTAAAGTAACCAATTTATTTGAAACATGTAAACTTTAAGAATTATCAAAGGCGTAATGAATTTGGATTTGGAATTACTGGTACTGATGAAAAATCGCCCAATGCGATCTTTGATCCGCGAATATGTTGCTTGTTGCGCATGCTCGACCTTATGGACTTCCGTTTGAAGGTGGACAGATGCCTCCCGTGTCAAGAAAAGTAAATGCCGTTTTATTGGGGCCACCTGGCTCTGGTAAAGGTACCCAGGTAAAGTATACATTACAATAAGAATGACCAACAATTCTCACTACTCGATGATAAATGCCAAAACGTATATAACATTATATGTCTTTTGGTACATGCGGTATGATTCGAATTTCCTCGAACTTCGTTAGGTCAGACGCCTGGAATCTTTCCCGATTACATCAGCACATATTTGGAGTACTGATCGGACAGATATTTTTTAGGATTTTCCAGTAGACAAAATTGTCGATTCCAATAGGCCTACATACATTCAACATTGGCCTCTCAAATCAATCAGTGTTGCTGAAACATAACCAGGTCCAGTACAATCACTAGATTTAGCTACGTAGGTAGAATTACCTACGTAGCTTTATTTACCTACCTCAGGTAGCTTTATTTAGCTATTTCAAGGTAAGTTTTCAAAAGTTTTCTTTTTATTAAAGGTACTTGGACACAGATTTGAAATCAATATTTTCTCTTTAATAATACGACTTATATATTTTAACAGCATTTCATACAAAAATTAATTAAAAATCTTATTTCATTTAAAAGTTATTAAAACTTCAAATTTTTTGGCGGGTTTGATTGACACATCCTTGCACTTTCACAAATTTTAACCTTATTCTTAATACTAAGGAAAAGTGGCAATTTTGATGTGTATTAATGAGAAATATTAAAACTTTTATCAAGAAAAATAATTTTATTCAGAGTAGAAATGTTAGAAAGCAAAACACCTTTACAAGTATTGTCATTCCGAACTAAGAGTTGCGTACAGAGTTTAGCAAATCGAGCACACTCGTGTTATGTACACAGTTTTTGTAAACAGGGCTCGTGTTCTGTTATTGTTTATGTTTAGAATTCACCGGGTGCGTTCAATCGTCACAGTCTGCTTACCACAACTGCACGGACTGACAATATATTGTGTGTTTGTTTTGCTTTCGAACATGTCTACTCTGAATTTTATTGATTATAGTATTAATATTTTTCATTTATACAAAACGAGATTACCACTTTTCTTAAGGATTAAGAATAAAATTAAATTTGTGAGAGTGCAAGAATATGTCAATCAAACCCGCCAAAAAATTTGAAATTTTAATATCTTTTATATGAAATAAGATTTTTAATTAATTTTTATGTGAAATGCTATTAAAATATATAAGTCGTAATATTATAGAGAAAATAATAACTTCAAATCTGTGTCCAAGTACCTTTAAAAAGAGACAAAAAATCGCAATTAAATGACTATTGATATTTATACTAGGGAGGCTTAAAAAAACAATCCAAAGCAGAGATAGTTTATACATTGCTGCATTTGGACAATTTAGAGCAAAACATGTAATTCCATTGTTTGGTTAACTGTCCTCTCTATTGGGCGCGGTGAGGCATGACTGAGTATGATTACTTCACATTGTGCTGATCAATTACCGACCTATTATCGTGTTAACAGGAACTGGACTTCTTTGTCATTTCATTCAAGGAGTAACTGTTCCAACTGTCATACATAGCCCCAAAACTTTCAGAACTTTGATTGCAATTGCGCAGAAAAAGACATTTTTGCAAGAGGGATTTTTTCATGAGTTGTTTTCAGATGAGTTCAAAGCTGAAAATGATCACTGCATCAAAATGATATTTTCTGCACACCCTGAGAAAAATGCTTTTTAATAGAAATAAATCAATTTGGTAGCTAATTCAAGCTACCTCAGGTAGGTAAATCAAGCTATGTAGGTAAATCAAGCTACGTAGCTAAATCTAGTGATTGTACCAGACCTGATAATTTTTCAGGCTAGTTCGATTGAAAGAAATTAAGTACAGAGCTACATGTATAGGCCAATTAAATTAAAAATTGCTTCCTCAATGTATTTTCTATTTTTGTAGAAACAAAGAGCAACTAATCAACTGTTTCTATATATTTTTTGAAAGCTTGTATTCACATTGGCTTCTGTTTTACTTACTGAGCTCGGTGCTTACAGAACCTTTAGTTTATAAAGCTTTGGTGAATAATCTGCAATAATAACTCCTTATGCATTATGTTTACAGGCACCAAAGCTGGTAGATGAATACAAAGTATGCCACCTTTCAACAGGTAAGAAACATTACAATGCATGGAAAGCACTAGCGGCACATGCAATTTAATTCGAGATTCCTCAGACTCTAACCCCTGCTTTTATATTGAGAGACGTGCAGGGGAGAGTCAGAGCGGAGGCCATATTGAAAAATGGGAATTCAGCGACGCCCGCCATGTTAACTCCCATGACGCAAGAAATCAGTAATGAGATGATTTCTAAAACGTAATTGTCATTCAAAGGATGCTACCGCCATTTAAACGGCCCTATCACAGACAAATGAAGCATCACTTAAATTAGGTCGCCTCCTCACCATTCAACCTCTTTGTGCAAGACCTCAGCACACAAATACACAAACAAACAATAATGTGAAAATATATTTACTGATTTCTCGCATCTCAGTAGTTAACTCTGCGAAATATATTTGTAAAAGGTAGGCAGAGTTGCGACACCAGCTGGTGTCATTGAATTTCCACTTTTCAATATGGCCTCTGCTCTGACTCTTCCCTGTATGACACAATATAAAAGGCAGGGGTTAGAGTCAGAGGAATCTCAGATGAATGCAATTATACATGCATTGGATAAGGTATTCAACCAAACAGGCTATGTGTCATTAACAAAAACTATGTCACTCAGCATCATAGTCAAAATTTTTGTACACTGATTTATAACCAATTTTCTCATTCATTGCTCGATTTGCCCCTGTAGTAGGAAAGGAGAAATGCATGAATAAAACATGGCTGGATTGGGAATCGAACCCGGGACCCCTGCATTACTAATGAGGAGCTCTACCAACTGAGCTATCCAGGCTGATTTCCGCTGTCAGTTAGGTCTGAACTTCAACATTCCTCCCTCTTTAAATAGTTTTCGACCTCGATGACACCAGTTCTAGGGCTCTGCCAGGAATTATTAATTTACACATACACTGTAACCTGAACATGGCCCCCAACACTGGCCACCAATTGTGGTAGGAAAGGAGAAAAGCATGAAGAAAACATATGGCTGGACCAGGAATTGAACCTGCAGGGACCCCTGCATTTCTAGTCAGGTGCTCTATCAACTGAGGTATCCAGGCTGATTTCCGCGGTCCATAAAGCCTGAACTTCTACACACCCTAAAACTTGATAAATGATTACTCTGGCAGATCCATTATTCCTTATGGCCACATACTTGTACATAGGGCTGGGTATTGGCCCGAGATTTCGTATTGCGATATATTGCGATATTTTTAATTGTATTGCAATATGTATTGCAATATTTTTAATGTAATAAAAATGGTATTTTCTTACTACATTAACTATAATTTACATGCAAAATGTACATAACCATGATAAGTAACCAACAAGGAAAAAAAATCTTGTTGATTTCAATTAAGTTATGCTCTGAAATGTCCCCACAAAACAACTTCTGTCTTACTGTTTGGTTTAATAACAAACTTTCATAAGTCCATTTTATATTTAATGACATAATTCCTTAATCTAAGCATATTGCCAAAATATCGATATTACAAAATCGTATTGCGATACGATAGATTCTTCTCCCCCAAATGATATTAGCAAATTTTGCACAAGGCAGACTTGTCTCAAGCTGTCAGCAGATGGAATGAATTACCAGCCAGATTTTTTCAGACTAGAGAGCTACAAATGTACAGCTGATATTATCCTTATAGTTTTATCTGAAAAATTCCAACAGGTTCAATACTAAAATCAGTTGTCCTTTTTTATACACTACTTAGGGGATATGCTTCGAGCAGTCATTGCTTCTGGTTCAGACCTTGGTAAGAGGGTCAAGGGGGTGATGGACAAGGGGCAGCTGGTCAGTGATGACCTTGTGATAGAAATGATTGACAAGAACCTTGACAAACCAGAGTGTGCCAATGGCTTTTTGCTGGATGGATTTCCTCGTACCATAAAGCAGGCAGAGGCAGTAAGTATCCACTATTATAGCATAATTTCCACAATTTAGGTCATTGTGTATAGTGAAGTTTTTTGAAATAACTTGGAGCCAGACTGTTTTATAAAGTATATGAAATGAAACATTTTAACGGTGTTTTTCACAGCACTTTTAATGATTGCACACTTCTAGGGAAGTGATTTTTATTCCCTTAAATTTTAAAATGTAATATTATATACATGTACTTAATTAACAAACAAAATGATTTACATTTATTAAGAATGAAAATTGTTCATGATCATCGCTTATGTTAACTATGTGAAAATTTTTACTGTTTTTGTCAATTTCAATATCTGTTTAAGCTGCACTTGTATTTAAATTGGTAATGATCATTCAAGAAAGATTTATTTTAGAGTTAATTGTAGTGAAAAGAAAAATAACAGCTTGGTGTAACAAATTTGACATTGTTTTAGCTTGATAATCTGCTGGATCAGAGGAAATCAAAGCTGACTGCCTGTGTAGAATTTAAAATTGATGATTCTCTACTGGTGCGTCGAATCACAGGACGTCTCATTCATCCACCGAGTGGACGATCATATCACGTGGAATTTAATCCACCCAAAGTACCAATGAAGGATGACGTTAGTATTTCTGCTCAATACAATTTATTCAAATTTTGTCTGAATAATTGTGCGCTCTTAACTTTTAGGATAAAATTCTTAAAATCTTTTATGATTTGAAAATATTATCTAAAAGTTGCAGTACTTGAATAAATTTTTTTCTCCCTTGATTTATCTATGTACAAACATGTATGCAATATTCAAACTATCCACAAATAAAAACCTTTAACAGCAAACAGGAGAAGCTCTGATAAGAAGATCAGATGACAATGAAGATGCATTAAAGAAGCGCCTTGAGTCCTACCACAAACAAACCAGCCCACTGGTGGACTACTACAGCAAGAAAGGAATCCACACGGCTGTGGATGCCAAGCAATCCCCTGGGGTCGTGTTCGCTGCCATCCAAGCCGCCTTCGCAGGGAAAGCCCAAGACAAATTACGACTCCACGGACAAGGATGATAGTTACAAAAATTATATTGAAACAAATTCGTCATGACACTATATCAGAATCACTATCAATGGACTTTTAAATTAACCTCTGATCTTCATTTATTATGTACCAAAATCATTTCAATCATGTCAATGGTGAGTTGATTTCACTTTCCTCTAAATTTGTGATGCCATATCATCCTCGTTAATTTTTACAAATTTTACTTCAATATAAATATGTATTATATACATGTACATTTAATTTAATATCATAATCAATGTTGCAATATTCATGCATATTTGATATTGATGAATAATTTATTTTCCTGAAAGAAAATCTTAATCAGCATTTTGTGTTCCTACTTTTTTTTTTGTTTTCCACATGCAAGGCGTAGTGAAATTGGGAAATCATTTGGACAACTAGTCCATATTGTAGGAAACATTACTTCTGGTGGTCTCAGCAAAAAGAACAAAACAAACAAAACACACACATAAAGTTGGAATGGGATTTCTTAATAGTTTATCCTATCATGCAATTGTTTTTTTTTTAAATAAAATTAAACTACTGGAGTTGAACATGTAGATAAATTGTTATTGTGCAATATTATTTCAGCCATATTTTGGTGTTGAAAAACTTAAGGAACTTGAGATCTTAGTATACACAACGTGAAAGATATTTCTCAAACTATATGCTATGGATATATAGCCATAAAATGTCATTAAATTATATAACATGCCATAACCTGCAGCTATCAAATGCATCTACGTGACCAAGTTTAATAATCTTGTGCTTCATGATTGATGAAATATGATACTGGTATGCATGTACCTATTCAATAAAATATGCAATTGAAAAGCCTCATAAGTTGAGGAAAACAAAACTTATTCTATACCAGGCTTGCTTACATTTATACACATACTATAGCAGGTTTTCACACAATTCATATATAATAAAGAAACAATAAATGTTCCTCCCTATATTCATATTGTAATTGTAAAATAAAAACTTTCTTGGTTCCTATTCATTCTCACATGTTTTTCCGAGTGGCTCACATTATTGAAGTTTTCTTATTAAAAATGATAAAGACTTCTAAGCTCACCTCAGAATGTAAGTGTCATCAGTTTTATATCAAATGAAAGTAGAAAAAGAACTGCAACACTAGTGATTTTTACATATCCAGAAAAATGTCTGTGTGAAGCAAGACTGCAGCACAATGCTCCTACCGTACATGGATCTCTGTTCCTTGTATGGTTGTCAGTTTCTCCAATTTGCAATAATTAAACCTTGCTGCAAACTCATCTGTCAATGGGTCACACACGACATCTTCACATGATTTATAGATGGGATCCCCAGGTGTAGTATTGGTACAGGTAGGGAAAGGTTCCTCCTCAAACTTGAAGTACTTTATTTATGGCATCTGAGTAAGGTGGAATAACTCTTACTGAACTAAAATTTTTCATCAGAGAAATCAGAATAGGAATGATATCATACTGCAATACTTTTTATCATTATCAAATGCCAAGTTGTAGCGTTTCCACTTCAATATGTGCCAGTATATTCTTTAACACATTTTCTAAATTCATATGAAGAACTCCTTTAATATAAAAATATTTTCCGGGGTCAATAGTTTCGTTTGTTTTGGAAATATCTCAATGTTTTCCTGGAGATGCTCTTTAGACAGTTAAATCAATATTTTTTCTCTAAAATACAGATTTTTCAACCAAGAACCAACCAGTCAAACTGGTTCATCTCTAATAAAATTCCCTGGAGAACCTTAAATAATTTAAATTAGTCTTGCACTATAAGAGTACAGTTTTGCTTTTAAAATTCATTTAATACAAAGTAAAGCTTTGTATGCCTTGTTAGTTAAAGAGTGTAATCTTACAACACACATCATAGAAATTGATATTTAGAAATTACTTGGTTTTGATGAATCCATTCAAATGCATAAAATATATTACAATCTATAAATAAAAATCAAACTTTTTTGACTGTTACATAATTTAATTTGAATTCTCAGGTTTCATTTGTTTCTGCTTGCTTCATACGAAGCACAACAGGAACAGAGGTACAGGGAATAAGTCCAAGTTCAGTTATCACTAAGGAGATGAACTCTGGAGGGGTCACATCATAGACTAGGTTAAGCAGGGTCAGGGGGCTGTAGTCTCTCCAGTCATTTAAATAGGGAGTCTTGTTTCCAATGGATACCAGGTCATCAGGGTCACCTAGAGACACACAGAGAAAATACTATTTAATTAGAAACAAAGTATCTATATACCAGTAACAAAGTACAGTGTATATATATATATGTACATATACTGAATAAAATATGTTAAAACACAACAGGCTAAAACTATTTATAATATCTGCAATGATCACAAAACTGATTGATATAACTAACATTAAACAGATGGGATAGACATAAAAATATGAGGAGTTGACGGAGCTTTAATGCATACAGTTGTACTCACCCAGTTCATTATATACAAAGGAGTCGGTCTGCCCCCGTTCACAGAATTTGTAGGTCTCGCAGCACACTAGGACTGGGACATTACAGGCTTTAGCTATTAAAGCTATCTGAGAGGTTCCTACCCTAGACATGACACAGCCATTAGCCAGCAGGGCGTGTGCACCCAGCATCACCTTGGTGGCCTTTAAAGAAACAGTTTAAAATGTATGTACCACAATCTTACACATTACTATTTTTTTATGGTTAATTTTTTGTTGAGGTATTGTAATACATATACATTATATGTGTTAAATCAATATAACCTATGCACCAGCAAATGCCTTTAACTATGGTGAAGATATGAAAATAAATTATTAATATTTAACAGTATCTCAAATATCTAACTTGATACAAAATATCTACATTGTATACATCTAAATGTTTTTACTATATAAATTTTGCAGTTTTCTAAATTAGAAAAATTGTGTAAATATCATTTCCTCACCTCTTGCATTGCGTATGAAGCAGCATTGATCAAAATGTAGGAACATGGGATACCAGCTCTCACAAGTCTCCTTAGCATCTCCTTACCTATCAAAAAAAGCATTTTCTATTCCCATTCCATCTTCTTATACAAAACATATTTTACAAGCTACTTAAGTTTATTTACTCTTTATTCAGCAGTTTCCAAAATGAATTGTATTTTTTTTCTTTGTGTTATGAACACACTAAAACTAATGCCTGTACCTTCCATTTTAGGTCTAGCATCTACGACGATGACCTTAAATTCCTTCCCTTGATTCCATGCATCACAGAGTACTCTACGGACAATTGATGAACTGAAAAAGTATATAAGACATAAATATTAAACAACTTGATGTGATTGTGATATCCATATAAATACAACTATTTCCTTTCTTTTTTGGCCATATTAACATTTCTTTGTTTGAGACAGACTTACCATGAGTACACAAGGATAACATCACCATTTTTTATCTTCTCCTCGTCCTTGACATACTTTGAAATAGCTACTGCTGAGAGAAGAATTCTCTCCTTTATATAATTATCAATAGTATCCAATAGTCTGTCTTTAGCCTGAAAAATTTAAGGATTGAGTTTTAATTAGTATTTATTTTCTTTACAGCCCTGACTTAAGTCTTGCAAAGTGTTACTTCCCTACAATAGAGATTCCATCAAAATAGTGTAAGTTTATATGAGAAGTGTGACCTCTAACCTCTCGGTCCTGTAGATTATTGGGCATGTGCGTGATGTGGTGTTTCAGATGTTTGACAGCATTTCCCATACTAACTGACATCAAGCGACACTGATTCAGGAAGCTGTTGAAGAGTTCTAGATTTTATTTTACTATTTAAATTGTAATTTCAGAAGTTCAATATAACTGGTACATTCATACTAAATATATTTTTTTTCGTTGCAATCTCAAAATATGGATTTCTATAAAGCCCTTTTATCAACAAGCTTGTTATCTAATTAGTACTTTAACAAAATTATAATGCATGACAAAATAGATCTGAGAGTTTTCCAACCATACTTATTAATTTATCAATATTTCTTGCAAAATAACATAAAGAATGTTTCCTCATTTGTGAAAATAAACAAATTAATGAATCAATCTCAAACAGGCTCTTTGAAAAAAAAAAAAAAAATTGTTGCAAATAATTCTAGGTTTATAATAGTTTAAATTTTGATCAGAATTTTGAAAATTCAAAGAAAGAGAATGTAAAGTTTTATACGTAATGCATGGCTTTAGCTTGGCCTCCAGATCTCTTGAAAGCTCTTTCTGAGGAGGAGTTGTATAGTCTCGAATAACCTAAACAAAAATAAATCAATATGAATTAAATGACCTATCTAATTATGATTATTGGATGCAGAATTTTCTCCACTGAGATAGAAAATACATCTGTGTTATGCAAAAACTTCAGTATTTATTCCAGTTTAGGGAAGGACCTGAATACAGTCATACCTGTTTGAATGCCGCCAACATGGCCAGACAGCGGGCATTAGACCCACATATAACTCCCTCCGCATACTGCAGTCCAAGCTTGATGACAACAGGATGTATACCCACAGAAGAAAAACTTTTAAAAAAAAGAACAAAGAGATTTTCTTAAATATTTTATGATACTTGTTGATCTCCACTAAAAATGTAAAATTAGCATAAAAAATGCACAGTATTAATGTTGAAACCTTGTGTAAGAAATGAATATGAGAAAAAATCTTACGAAAATGATTCTGTGAGAGAGACTTCTCTCTCGTACTGATGGAGATGGTTAAATAGACGAACTTTACGCTGAGCTACAGTCCGCTGGGGAAGTCGCTGTTTTTCAAGCTTTTTAGCAACCCTTTTTTGAGTTTCTGCATCGTCAGCTTTCAGATGATCAGGAACTCTCTTAGGTTCCTTCTTAGCGGTTGATGCTGCAGAGGATTCTTTTCCTGAGGATGATGAAGCGTCTTTCTTGGTGTTTACAGCAGTACCCTCCTTCTTACCTCCCGCCCCAGCAGCTTCCAGCTTCTCTTGTTTGGCAGCTCGCTGAGCTTCCTTAAACAATTGAAATCAATGTTATAAAAGTGATCATTTTGCAAGCTGGAAATTCATTTCTTTAATCGATTTATCTCATTTAGAAGTTACATTTTATGAAAATATTATAAAATAAGAAAATTTAGCATCCAATTTTTTTTCTTCTAAATGTTATAAAATTAATAAAATTCTTTGAAAAGGCACCTTTAATCATGTTAATGCATGACACTTACTTGTTTTGCCCGTCTTTCTGCCTTAAGTTCTGCTTTACTTTTCTGAGGTTGATTTGGATCTGCCTTGTCAGTCTTATCTTTCGGATGTCCCTCTTTTCCTTCTTTCTTTACCTTCTTTTCCTTTTTAGCTTTTTTGTCATGTTTCTCAGTAGGAGCAGATTTTTCACTTTTATGTTCTGTAGGGAGAGCCCCCTCTTGTTTCTCGGCCATGACCTTATTTTTTGAAGTATTTCTTATCTGTAAAAGCAAAATTACAACAAGTCAAACCTTACAAGTCCAAAATCCTTGAGTTAACAGGTTAAAAGCAGACCTGTAACTAGCAGTCCAGACTTCACACTGACACTGAGGTCAGAATATATATAAAACAATAGGCCTAAAAGAAAAAATGAATGGGATTGGGAGTGAAATTGTTGCAATTACATTGCAAGTATCTGTAACTATCTATATACGTTGCAGAATCCAATTATGGCTTTTTTACAAAGGCAATAGTACCGGATTAACATCAATGCTTTTAAACTAACCTGAATTATTAAAATTATTTACGATTAATACGATTAACCATGATCCAAGAAAATTCGAACCACTAGGCAATACTTGACGTTTCTTGCACCACTGTCAAGCTAAATATAGATATTGATAATTAGGTTTGGTATGTTGAAATTGTTCAGTTTTATGACATTTTAATTAATCACACTTTCTTACCTTTACGGAATTTACAATAAAAATAAAATTTCCATCTGTTTCAGATTTTTGTACATCGATCACAGTTTATTCGTATTCTTAGTTAAGTCGTTCGTTCAAAAATTCGTTTTTCATCTATTTCCAAAATCTCTCATCAGAGGACCGTATTGCGCTTCGTAAGCTTAAAACACATACGTCTCGACTTTTGTGACCAAATTTTACTTTAAAAAAAAAAAAAAAAAAATCCTACATATTTCAATGAAAAACCTTGATTTTCTATAGTGGCCCGATCCCAAATAACGACGGTGTAATTTTTGTCCCCCACTTGCAAAGTGGGGGATATTAATTTGGGTCTGTCCGTCCGTCCGTCTTTCTGTCTGTCTGTAACGCTTTTGTTTCCACACGATATCTCGAGAACCCTTTGAGCTTTTGCAATGAAATTTTGCATAGGAACTCCCTATGGACTGAAGAAGAACCCTATTGATTTTGAGGTCAAAAGGTCAATGTCATAAATTTGCCAAACTCTGTCTGTTATAACACCTTCGTTTCCACACGATATCTCGAGAACCCTTTGAACTTTTGCAATGAAATTTTACATAACAACTCTCTGTGGCCTATACCTTATATGGAAGATCCCGATTGATTTTGAGGTCAAAAGGTCAAAGTTCAAGGTCGTAAATTCATACATTTTGTCTGTGTGTAAAACTATCGTTTCCTGGCAATATTTTCAAGATTTTGAGCTTTTACAATGTAATTTTATAACAAAACTCCCCAGGACCTTTCTCACCCCTCTCAAAGTGTCCCGCCCCGTTTGTTTTATTGGTAGTTATTGTATTTACATGTCGCTAGTTTTAGCACAGGGCCATGAGGAGAGTTATTACGTACAATACAGGTTCTCGGCGAACTTTATATTATTATTACATCTATTAGAACTGTTTAATAAAGGCCAAATTAGACACCATGCGTTGTATAAAATTTTGACAATATCGAACGTGAATATATACATGTATGTGACTTTATGTCTGCATATAATTTCCGTAGTTTAGTGGTATGTCTCTCGCTTCACTTAAAAAGATAAAATAAAAAAAGTCTCTCTCTTCACTTGTGAGTGGTCCCGGGATCGAATCCCGGACGACCCACTTTCTTTTTTTTCCCCCGAAATGCCTTTTTTTAAATAAATGATAGTATTCAGCATGTTAAATGAAAAAGTTATGAGGTCTGGCTTGTACAAACTCATAAAATCATCAATACAGTGTGATAAATATACCATCTAAAACTAATCTTCTATGCATATAATAAAGATTAAGCAATCAAATAGTTCTACAATAGTTCTACAAATTCAATCAGTGGGATCCGCTCTCTCTCTCTCTCCCCCCCCCCCCCCAACTGCGTATGGTTTACTTTTTCCCTAAGCGGGGGACACAAATTCTCTGAATTAGCTTGTAAAAATTGTACTGAGTTACAGGTATTACAATTACAAAATCAAGTGCCTGTGTCCGGGGGTGGGGGCGTTAAATAATTTAAAATCTATACTACACAAGAAAGAGAAGAATGTTTTAAACGATTTTTACTGATATACTTAATAAATTGTAAATTTTCAAATCATATTGTGCTCCCATGATTTGAATTAATCAGTTTTCCTCAAAAAGCTTCCACATTAGTTTCTGCTTTTCTGGTAGTTCTTGAGCTTTTGTTAATGACCATACCCTTTTTCATTGACTCCCAAGGGGATATTTATATACACCCGGCTTAAAAAGTGGGAGGGTATATAATGATCGGGATGTCCGTACGCCCGTCTCTTACACTTTGGGGTACTCATCTCTTATCTGCAACTCCTCTTATACCAGTGAATGAAATTCAATGAGATTTTCACAGATTCTTTGTTTCATACATGTAGTGCCATTGTGTACCTCTTATTTTACTTTTTGACCGGAAACATATTTCGGGATTCCCATAGCAAAACATAGACACTGTCACTCTTTTCTATAACAATGAAGGGCACCTACTAGTATCTCTTATCCACAGCTCCTCCTATATATATCCCACTGAATAATATTTAACGATACTTAAATCACAGAATCTTTGTTAAATAGTGCCATTATGCACCTCCTATTTTACTCTTCCATCTGACACTTATTTCAGATCCCCCAAAGCAAAACATGGACTTTGCCATAACAATTTGGGAGATAGGGGATATCATTAAGTGAGCTCAAAACTCTTGGGAAAGTTTTCAAACGGACGGACAAACAGACAGCTGGTTACGTACGACGAACATTGGATAATCAGAAAATTTAGATCAAGTGAGCTAAAACCTATACCATCGGAGAAGGGGGTTAGGAGAAGATACTTTTCCAAGTCATTTCTAATGGGGGTTAATTTTCTGAAAATACACGTCTCTCCTTTCTGTTCCAAGAAGGTTCTGTGTTTCATATACGGGGTCAATGTCCAGATCGTGACCCCTTCAAGCTCCATCCCTTGCATTTGATTATATGGAGTATAAAATGGGTCTATTGAAATGGGAATTTTATATTTATATGTAATTTCATATTATCACTGCGTCGCTATCTGATAAAAAAAAAATGAAGGATTTAATCTTGTCAGTATAATAATAATTTCTTTTGATTCAAATCTGCTATAAATAAATCACTATAAATAAACATTATATAAATATTGCATGTAGTTGAGTGTAACACTGGAAATTTTCACCCCAAGAAAACCATTGTCAACCGAGGCGCAGCCGAGGTTGACAATGGTTTTCGAGGGGTGAAAATTTTCAATGTTACACTCAACTACATGCAATATTTATTATATTATACTGAATGTTTTATACAAATACATATAACAGTGAACCGTGCGCGCATAAATTCTGCGCAGTCGCTATTTTTTGGAATACCACCCGTCATCAAGCAATGTTGACTGTTGCTACGCTGGAGGGCGTGGCTTCATTATTCAGCGGGTAGTAGTGTTTATTAACAAATGTTTCTCGACCAATCAGATTCAACTAATTTTACATGAAGTATAATATAAATGAATACCAACTCAATATATAGCTACATGTTCCATGGAACATTGTATTCTTGAAGTGTGACATTGGAGTTCTTTGTAATGCGAGAGGTATGACACTCATTGAAAAAAATCCATCCATAATCAACAATTATAACCAAAAATAGAGACAAAACAATGTTAATAATTTATTGAATTGCAACCAGATTTTAATCTGCTTACTTGTTTAAATTACATTGTTATAGTGCTAATAAATGATTACCCCAAACTCTTTGATTGTAATTAAATAGTTAGCTCTAGTCTTTAAAGATGTTACATTTCTATGTCTGTAAATAGTTAATATAATCTCTCTTGTTTAAAGTTCTTTGTCATGAAGTGGTTAGCCTTATCTCTTCTTGATATCTCTTTTTGTCTTATACATGTATATGCTAAATCAAGTATAGCTTGTATATAAGTATTGGTATATTTTTTCAAAGTGCGTTGATTTGGTCCCAAATTTGACGCACTTTGAAATTTTTTTTCAAAGTGCGTAATTTTTCAAAGTGCGTTGTGACAATGGTTCTTCTAGATCAAGTTCATTTATTTCACTTACACCAACATCAGTGGTACATGAGGTACAATATATAAAAAATTAGTCGTCATAATTGTAAGGAAAAGAATAAATATAATTATGATACAATGGCACATATGTGCAAAGTATAGCAATAAACATACAATGAAAAAAGAACAAAAAAAGGTATGGTAACAATTAAATTATGATGGACAGACTAAGATTTTTTTAAAGATTTTAAATTTGTCGTTGATATAATTTCACAAAACTTAAGTGTATTTGGCGTTTTACAAAATCTGGGATGTAAAAGATTCTTTCTGATACTATTCAATGTTTTACATTTCTAAAATGAAATGAAATTCGTCTGCTATTTGCCCTGTACTACTCAATTTACAAACTCTTTCATCCAGTGGAATATTTGACCTTCTACCAGTTTCAACTGGGAGGTGGTGGTTTGAGGTTCTAAATTTTATTAGTATTTTTTAGGTAAAATACTTAGATATTTTTCACATCCAAAATCACTCTTAAAATTTTGTAAATTTGACCTTTTGATGAATTATCAATATCACTATGCCATATTTGAATAAATTGATCTCTTCATCTTTGCTTCACTGCTGCAAGTACCCAAATTCCTGTCAACTGGAACTTTGTTCCTACCAAATGTTAGAGAACCCACAAGAAGTTAAAATGTTATAAATGAAATCTACCCATAGGTTTTTTGGACCTCCTTGAAAATATTGAGAACATAGATATTTATACAAAACACAAACTATTTTGTTTTCTGAAAAATTCGGGGTAAGCAATTTTAACCAGTAGGAGATCATTCTTGTTAAAATAATAATAAACAATGGGAATCGCCTCTCTAGGTCACCTGTCTATGTCTGTAAATTGGTAAAATATCCTTTAATAATCCCCAGGGACCTATAAACTAGTATATATAGGTCCCTGATTACCCACACTTGTCTTTAATTGATAAAGTCTCCTTGGTCCCTTGTTTGTTTGTCTATATCTGTAAATTACTAGCATTAGTTTGAATTTATTGACTATCTTTGTCAGTAAATGGTAATTTTTTTTCTGTCTTGATTCTCTTTCGGAAGTCTAACTGGCCACATGTCTATGCAAATAGTTTGTCTAACGTACAGATATGTGCCAAAAGAGAAGATACATGTAATTCTATTTTTGCTCTATATTTATCTCATTGAAAATAACATTTTGTAAAATCCCTGGCAAATGGTCAATTTACGGATGGTCATCCTGTGACTATACCGACTTCTAAGCGTTGCCTCACTGTTGTGTAATCCTTTACTGTAAATCTCAGCTGAAGATGGTCAAAATAGTCTTTCAAAACTGAAACTAAAACTTGTCTTCTTTGGTACATGGTATCTTATGAGTGTCAGCTCAACAAGTTTATGGGGAATTGTCCCATATGCATTTGCTAGATCTAGACAGATGACTGCCAACTCCCCTTTAGATTCCTTGGTTTCCCGGATTAACTGTGTCAGTACACTTGTATACATCCTGATAC